CCTGTTGCTAAGTTTAATACCTACCCCACGCTGGCCCACTGAGCGGGCTTCGTCGTGGCCTGATGTACGCAGAACATATCTCGACGACAAATCTGGCGTGTTGAAGTGGGTTATAGTAGTAGGATCCTGGATACGAGTCTCCGACATGCAGAAAATATCTATCTCCAAGGGCTCCATTGTACGCGCCAGACAAGCTTGACCTACTTGCATCAGTGTCCTCTCGTGGAAGGCTCCTAGATTCAGTGATTAACGAGGCTTTAGGTTCTACAATTCGTTTCGAGATAAATTACTTAGTGCTATTTGGCAACGACCTTTGGTGAGTGACATCCAAGTTATCTGAGGGACTATTAGAGGGCAGGAGAAGGGGAAATGGAGAGGACAAATGTTGGGATATCTGAGCAGTAGCCCACTTATCACTATCCACCCCACTCGATGCAATGGGCAGTGTAGTCCCGATTATCCTGCGCGACGACCGATGCAGTACGGAATCATTTTTATTTTTTTTATTCATTGGGGTTTGATGGACGGGTACTGCTGGGGTGTCCAACCACTGAGCAGGAGAGCGACTAGGGTTCTCGTCCAAAGCCTTTAGTTTTAGCAAGAACCTAACCATAAGGCAGTGGGTAAAGCGAAATGGAGGCTCACTTACTTGGATCGATTACTTCTCCACCATTTTTTACGCGACACCCTGGATTTCGGCTGAGTCTCTGCGCCTTCTTGACGCACGTTGGTCACTTACGATCGGCAGCGAGCATAACGTAACACGGCTTGTAATGAGACGTGAATTTAACGTGAGCCTACAAAGAGATCGCGAGATCTGGTGGTCTCAACGCGCATCAGAGATGGAACGTGTTACCGCCATGGGAAATTCCCAAAAGCTGTTCCATCTCACCCGAGTCACCGGTAAGAAAGCCTTGGGTGTGAGGGGGACGATCTATGAAGCTGACGGCTCGCTTATTCAATCAAAAGCGACGTCTTGAACGCTGGGCGGAGCACTCTAAAGCACAATTTAGCTGGCCACTAGCGCCAGCTTCTCACAGCTATTCCGGCACACGTCCCGTGGTCTGTGACAACAGACCCACCTTTTGAGACGGAAATCCAAACCTTGGGACGTCACAAAGCGCCGGGCTCCGATGGCCTTCCCTCAGCCCTATTAAAAGATGGCCGAATTAAGCTTGTTAGAGAACTATAAGTTCTGTTCTCTAAAGTTTAGAACACTGAGCAGATACCCTCCTCTTGAGAGGAATCGATTGTTATCCCCATATTCAAAAGGGCCCGCGTAATGAATGCACAAATCATAGGAGTATAAGCCTGATCCCTATAGCGTCAAAACTGTCCGTCATTCTCTGCCGATTTTAGATTACGCGTGAGGAGCAGGCTGGGTTTCGTACCGGTCGTGGATGCATCGATCAAATCATCACCCTCTGACAGCTGCAAAAGCACCGTCATGCCTACCAAAGACAAACGATCATTGTGTTCTAAGACATCCGCGTGGCCTTCGACTCCGCCGATAGGACCGCACTATGGAGCAGCTTTTTGATGAATGGAGTGCCTGAGAAGTGTGTCGATCCTCAAAGAGTTGTATCGCCGTACCTCAGGTCGGGCTAGGGCTTATGGCCAGCTTTCACTACCCTTCGCCGTCTCCAGTGAAGTTCGACAAGGCTGCCCTATATCCCCTTTGCTTTTCAACTTCGCCATAGAGGATGTTCTGCAGAATGCTTTGTCCGGTTTAGCAAACGGTGGAGTCTAACTCCTCCCAGGGAACTGAGTTCTTGACTTAGAATATGCCGATGACATCGCCTTGTTGAGTGGCAACACACAGGCAGTCCAAAACGCTTTGAACCGCTTGGCGATCGAGGTATCCAGATATGGTACGTGCTTTGCACCATCCAAGTGAAAGATGCTGGTTCAAGACTGGCAGGAGCCTGTGCCTGCACTCACCCTCTGCGGTGATTAGCTGGAAATGGTCGAGAGCTTTAAGTACGTCGGGAGCTCAAACACAGCTGGAGGTGTGTTGGGGAAGAGCTCTTCCCCAACTATGACGTGATTTAGATCACATCACAAATAGCGAAAGCTGAAGCAGCTTTCACCAACCTGCAACACCTGTGGCACCGCCATGACATCCGACTGTCCCTTAAGAGGAGGGTGTACATCGCCGCGGTTCGTAGCGTTCTCCTTTACGGTTGCAAGACCTGGCCCCTCCGCGTTGAGGATGCTAATCGGCCTTCTGTATTTGACTACCGATGTCTCCGAAGCATTGCTCGTGTCTGGTGGGAACACCGGGTGAGCAACGACGAGATTCGTCGTCGTGTGTTGGGTGCGGATAATCGTTCTCTAACGAAAGTAATGCCTCTACACCGCCTCCGATGGCTTGGTCACGTATTGCGTATGCCTGCCCATCGACCACCTTTGGGTGCTCTCTTCGCACGTGCTAGGCAAGGCTGGAAGATGCTTTGCGGCGGTCAGATCATTACATAGGCTAGAGGCATGAAGAAGCTGGCTCCAGCTTTGGCTTCGGTTGGTGCAGCTCGCCTTTCAGGTTGGGGCTCAG